AGAAAAGCAAGGAGCCAATTCCTCTCCTGTCAAAAACAACAAAGAGTAGAAGGCAATTTTCAGAAATCCAGAGAGGAAATGCAGAATCAAAGCAACTGATTATCATGCTGCAGGACCAGCCCTTAAGTCATTTGCCCCAACAGTTCAGCTTTCACTTTTCTCGTGGGGAGTTTTATTTTATTTTTTTTAAAGGGCTCCAAAACATGGGCAGCTTTTCAAACCTGGAACTTTAGAGTGGTAGCTACCAATGTCCCTCAGCTGGGTTTAAGCCACTAGTCTCTCAACCCAGCCTCCTTTACAAGATTGCTGTGGTGCTGGGGGGGGGGCAGGGTGTCATTATTTATGCCTTTAAAATGATAAATCGTAGTTATTGTAACCGGGTGAAAATAGCAGACATACATTTATCCTGACTCGTGATTCAACCATTTTTTAACAGACCTGATAGATTAAAACTGCACACCATTCCAATCAACACAGGTTGGAAAACTAGTAAAGATAAATACAGTTTGAAGTACAGTGTGTTTTTGGTTAAAGGAAGCTACGAGACTTGGGTTTGGCAAAAGAAAAGAAGAAATAAGGGAGACGTGTTAGCAGTGTTCCAGTATCTGAGGGGCTGCCACAAGGCAGAGGGGGCCAGGTTGTTCACCAGAGCACCAGAGGGAAGGCGGGGAAACAATGGTTGGAAACTGATCAAAGAGAGATACAACCTGGAATTAAGGAGAAATTTCCTGACAGTGAGGACAATCAACCAGTGGAACAGCTTTGCCTTCAGAAATCATGGGTGCTCCATCACTAGAGGTTTTTAAGAAGAAACTAGACAATCACCTGTCTGAGACAGCATAGATTCTCCTGCTTGAGCAGGGGGCTGGACTAGAAGATCTCCAAGGTCCCATTCTATTCTATTCTATTCTATTCTATTCTATTCTATTCTATTCTATTCTATTCTATTCTATTCTATTCTATTCTATTCTATTCTATTCTATTGTGGTAAGAGGTCACATATTATTCATCTGCATGTTTTATTCAGGAGCAATTACTAAATCATTTTTTAAGCTATGAACTAAAGTTACAATAACTCCAATGGAAATATCCAGATGACACCCCTCCCCCCCAAGAGACAGACAATTCCAATCCTTGGCTCTATAAAAGGTTAGAATAAACCATTGTTTATAGAACAAACCCTCTATGGCTGGGCTTGGCCAACAGGCTAAGCCATAGAGCACCGATTGTAAACCTCTGTGGCAAAATTCACACAATGTCTCAACACCAAACAAACAGTATTTTAAGTGCATAGCAGATTTTACATTTCTAAACAAAGACCCATCTCTAGGTATGCATACAATGAAGTCATACATGCCTTCTCCTTGCACAGCTGCCTGGTGAGACTTTGACACTCAGACAGTTGTAGCAAAGTTCACAAAGCCAATCCCACTTCATTGATTCTGATGAGTAAAGGGAGGGTCTAAAAGCTGCACCCGGCCCACAGTCTCCATACAGGAATTCAGCCTGGGGAAACAAGTATACAAACATGACTGAATACACCAGTGGTTCTCAATCTGTGGGTCAGGACCCCATTTGGGGTCAAACGACCATTTCACGGGGGTCGCCAAACAACGCAGTCTGCCATCTTTTTTCCCCCCTTTTCCTTAGCTGTGCTACTCCCTTTTATTCTATTGGCTTTTGAAAGCCAATAGAATAGACTCTCTTGAATAGAGTCTAATTCTATTGGCTTTCAAAAGCCTATAGGAATTGTCCAGGCTGTCTCTGTCCTGCTGAGCCCGCCAAAAGTCCCATTCTGCAAATGGTGCTGCACCAGTTGAGTAGTCCTCGACTTACGACCGGTTGAGTAGTCCTCGACTTACGACCGGTTGGGGGTCGCGGCATTAAAAAGGTTGAGAACCACTGCTCTAAAAGAATGCAAATGACCAGCAGTCTGCAAGGAACATAAATCTTTCCATTCCCCGCCATCCAGTCGAAGAAGAAACAAGAAAATCCAGTTGCCTCTTGAAAAAGCACTTTTGGGACTGCTTGCTTAGTTGTTATCTTTCACGTTAACACAATCCATTACTCACATAAAGTGACTGCCAGCCCTTTGGTTTTCATATTCCCTATAAAAAAGGGGAACAGTTGGCTGATCCCTAAGGACCGATCACTTTTCAAGAAAAAAATTACGTCATTTGTCCTGAATGGTATAAGATCTCCTGCTCGAACAGGGGTTGGACTAGAAGACCTCCAAAGTCCCTTCCAATTCTTTTATTGCTTTTAGACTGAAGGCAAGGCCACACTGTGCACGTTTGTGGTGTGTGTTTGTATATATGCTGCACAACAGGACATTTTACAAAATCAGAAGGAACTATTTCCTTACAAAGCCGCAGAACAAAAAGGATACAATTTTACAAGGCATTTTCTTTGAAAAGCATGGAACTAAATTATTACAATTCCGGGGATTTTAAGTATTCACAAAGTCTCCAATCTAGCTACAACACCTCTTTTCAAACAA